TTAAATAATAATATAAATAATTAGATATATAATAAATATTTAAGATAATTTGCTATTGAAGAGTATAATTTTTTTAGAAAAAATTTTTACTAGATTTATTATAAAATTGAAATGCTAAAATTTTTTTACAGTAAATAAAATCAAATAATAATATAGTTAAAATGATATTAAAATTGTTAAAATAAAGGCAATTCAAAGAACAAAATATACTATTAAATATAAGCTAGTCACATTCCAATATTATTATAAAAAATAACTCTTCAATTGTGATTTACCTTTTAGATTTTAAAATAAATTAATATAAAAATTAAATATTTAAATTTACCATCTGTTTGATATAAGTGAAATATTATTTACTTTTTTAAGTTTATCTTCTAAATATTCATGCACTTGAGAATAGGTATCATCCAAAAGTTTATTTGCCAATTGTCACCGATTTGGTAAATTATAAGAAGGATGAAGTATATTTATAAAATCAATTCAATATAAATTTTCAATTGCAGAAAAAGGAATAGCAGATGAGTAAAAAAAATTAGCCAGTTTTTTATCCAAAATAACTTTGTCATTTTGAGGTATACTATTCAAAAAAATTAGTTATAGGCTGAGAACACATTTGTCTTGATTGAATAGCAGTAGAATTAGGTTGCATAGGAGCACTATTTCGACGAGCTTTACTTGTAGTTAAGTTAGTTAATCCTTGAAGTTTATAAGGAAAAGAATTATATTTATTCAAATATTCTTTCAAATGATCAACTAAGCCAACAACATCTTTATTGCAATATTTGCATATTTGGTAAGGAGTAAAAAGACTATTGGCATTTGTATTATCCTCTACTGCAGGATAAAAATGATCAGTATGAATATTAGAGCAAGGGCGACCAGAGACATTGAATGACTTATTGTAAGAAAAAAACTTTAATTAAGCTATTGCTAGCTAAAGTTGTGTTTTTATTAATTGAATTTTTGTCTTTTTATAATTTTTTTATTACATTTAATTGATGATTCTCCAGTCAACTAAAGCATGATCTTAGTAAAATGTGACTGATTACTATATAAATTTACTATAGTGCGAATGTGGCATTCGTGCAAAGTAAACTTTTTTTTATACTAAGTTAATCACCTTTCTTGCTTAAGAGACTTTTGTAAAGCTTGTCAAGACACATCTAATAGTAGTTAGAGTGTCAAAATTGGCCTGGTGGGTGCTGAGATATCTTTAAAAAACCTCTCTTTTACTAT